TTTCATCTAAACTATTTCACTCCATCGTCTTCAGGCCATAACTTATTACCTATAATAATGTTAGAAATGCAGAATTTTGATAATTCGTCAGTTTTGGTTTCTTAGGTTGGTAACAATCAATGATAAGGACAAATCGTATATGGATTATAATTGATGAGTTGTTTATTAATGTTTTTTATCTAAATCATTTTACTCCATCACTTTCAGTCTTTCATTTATTTTCTATAATAGTGTTAAAATCGCGAAACTCTGAAAATTCTACGGTTTTAGTTCCTAGGTGGATAATAACTAATGACAGGGACAAATCCCTTATAGATAATAATTTTTAGGTTTATTATGAATGCTTTTAGTGTATATTATTTCACTCCATCATCTTCAGGCCGTAATTTATTACCTATAATAATGTTAGACATGCAAAACATTGATAATTCGTCAGTTTTTGTTTCTTAGGTTGGTAACAATCAATGATAAGGACAAATCGTTTATGGAATATAATTTGTGTGTTGATTATTAATGTTTTTTATCTAAATCATTTTATTCCATCACTTTCAGTCTTTCATTTATTATCTATAATAGTGTTAAAATCGCGAAACTCTGAAAATTCTACAGTTTTAGTTCCTAGGTGGATAATAACTAATGACAGGGACAAATCCCTTATGGATAATAATTTTTAGGTTTATTATGAATGCTTTTAGTCTATATTATTTCACTTCATCATCTTCAGGCCGTAACTTATTACCTATAATAATGTTAGAAATGCAAAATTCTGAAAATTCATCAGCTTTTGTTTCTTAGGTTGGTAACAATCAATGCTAAGGACAAATCGTTTATGGAATATAATTTATGAGTTGATTATCAATGTTTTTTATCTAAACCATTTCACTCCATCGCTTTCAGTGTTTAATTTATTACCTATAATAGTGTTATAAACGTGAACATCTGAAAATTCATCGGTTTTAGTTCCTAGGTTGATAATAACCTAATGACAGGGACAATTGACGGCGCTACTTGAATAGAGGTCCCAAACCCTCCGTAAACTGAAAAGATTTTGTCTGGTTCGAATTTGGATAAGAGTTGGCAGAATTTTAAAAATGTCTTCTAAATATGTCTATCTAATTGTGTCTCAAAATACACACAACATTTATGATAAACTACTTCCATCATGTGTTTGCATGGAAGAGTATATCAGTTCTAGTTCTCCCTCTGCGGATTCATCAGAAATTTCAAACAATGTTAATGAACACAGAACTATTTCATTTGTTATAAAAATGGATTATGAATCATAGGAGAAAATTAAACCGATGGATATTTCATATAATGACAAAAAGAACACATCGCGCTTGTATAGTGTTTTGCAATCTGATTGGACCGACGCAATGTACAAGGGATTTGATCCACCTATAAAAAGCCTTCTGAACATGAAGATGTATTGATACGTTGCTCATTAAGTGGTGAATTTTAATAATATTCGTCATCAAAACACAACGATTTTTAAATAAGGAGTGTGCCCTCCGTATAAGAGCGTTAGAAGCGCGAAAAAGAATGAGATGAAATAATGCCAAAAGATTTACCATCATTAAATATCCTGAGCATGGCAAAATATCAACAACGCAAATCCTTGCAATACCATGACTATCCTATTATTTGATGAAGTTTGATGCTCCATACATAAAATATATTTGAGTCGGAGGATATGATAATTTTTTTGTCCATTATTTCGGGTTTCAATGATATGCTCACAGACAGTAAAAAACTGGCATCCTCTTTAGATGTTGATACAAGCTTTAAATACCAAGAAACATTAAGACCACGAACTATTAAAAAGCAATTATCTTATGAATGCGAAGATCAACCCATAAGAATGAAGAAGTAAGCTTTAATGAACTCTTTTTTTTTAAGTGTTAGACGTCGCAATATCGTCCTTAAGTGGCAGGTTTGAGCTGCTATCTCAACATGCAGAAATATTTATTTTTTTATGGAATCTCTCCGAATTCAATAAATATCCTCAAAAAGCTCAACCAGCTCAATCTTTGTGAAAAACTTGAAACAGCATTAAGTGACAAATGACAAATGAACTACAGATTTTGCAGAGCTTTGGGGACAGTCTTACGTCGCCCGTTAAAGCTTCAAATTATATAGTTGATAACAATCTAACCCATTCATTTCCTAATATCTATATGTATTTCTCTATGGATTTTGTTAACAATTCCAGTCTCAGTTGCTACAGCAGAGAGATCATTTTCAAAATTAAAAATAATTAAAAATTATCTGCGGTCTACTATGGGACAAGATAGATTGGCAAATCTTGCAATCATATCTATTGAGAGTGACATTTTACAAAAATTAGATATAGATTTAATAATAGGGCAATTTGTTAAAAACAAAGCCAGAAAAGCTCAGCTTTTGTAAGATACATTTCAATATACGCATTTTCTTATTAATTTTTTGTTAACACGTGAACCACTCGTGATTGAACTATTTTATTGTAAAGTTATATTATTTTATGTAAATATTGTTTATTTTAAAAATATAAATAGTGTGAAACTTAAATAAAAATTTTTGACTGTAAACTTTAAAAGACTGCAAAATATTAATTTAAAAAAAATTATAAATGAAATACGTATTTTCATTAAATAATGGCGCTCATTAAATATGTGCACGACAGCGCTGATTAGGCTTGGCGCGGGCCTGATAATAACTAATGACAGGGATAAATCTCTTATGGATTATAATTTTTAGGTTTATTATGAATGCTTTTAGTCCAAATTATTTCACTATATTGTCTCCAGGCCGTAACTTATTACCTATAATAATGTTAGAAATGCAAAATTTTGATAATTCGTCAGTTTTTGTTCCTTAGATTGGTAACAATCAATGATAAGGACAAATCGTTTATGGATTATAACTTATGAGTTGATTATTAATGTTTTTTATCAAAATCATTTCACTCCATCACTTTCAGTCTTTAATTTATTACCTATAATAGTGTTAAAATCGCGAGACTCTGAAAATTCTTCAGTTTTTTAGTTCCCTAGGTTGGTAATAACGAATGGCAGGGACAAATTTCTTATGTAGTGTTAGATCTAGTTTAATACAAAATATACAACAATCTAACGCTTTATAACAGTTAAAACTAGACCTAACACTAGAACTAGAAAGTTTCGGGTTTAGCCGTGCGTCTTCAGACCGATACCACCTTGATACAAATTTGCACAGTTTTCAAGAATAGACAACTTAATCATCTCGAGGTCACTTGCAGCCGAGACGCTAGGTTGATACGACCTTGATACAAATCTACACAGTTTTCAAGAATATATGACTTATAATCAAACCGAGGTCGCTTGCGGCCGAGGCGCTAGGTTGATACCCTCATATTGAGCAAAAACTAACATTTTCGCATAATCTAAGTGTCAAAAAAGATGCTAATTCAAAAATTCCTGGAAGCCGTATTTATTGAAATTAAGGACTGAGACTTATTCTTAATTAAAGCTCAAACCTTTCTCTTTAAAATGATGTATAATAATTGTTTGATTGGATTGGAAAAATATTAAGAAAAATAATGTTGAAACAAAACTTACATTTTCGTATAACCTAAAAGTGTCAAAAAAGATGCTTATTTAAAAATTCTGGAAACCGTATTTATTGAAATTAAGGAAGGAGACTTGTTCTAAATTAAAGCTTAAAGCTTTCTCTTTAAAATGATGTATAATAATTGTTGGGTTGAATTGGAAAAATATTGAGAAAAATAATGTTGAAACAAAACTTACATTTTCGTATAACCTAAAAGTGTCAAAAAAGATGCTTACTTAAAAATTCCTGGAAACCGTATTTATTGAAATTAAGGAAGGAGACTTGTTCTAAATTAAAGCTCAAAGCTTTCTGTTTAATATGACGTATAATAGTTGTAGGGTTGAATTGGAAAAATATTAAGAAAAAGAATGTTGAAACAAAACTTACATTTTCGTTTAATTGTTTTAATTACATTGTTCCTTAGGTTGGTAACAATCAATGATAAGGACAAATCGTTTATGGATTTCAATTTATGAGTTGATCATTAATGTTTTTATCAAAATCATTTCACTCCATCACTTTCAGTCTTTCATTTATTACCTATAATAGTGTTAAAATCGCGAGACTCTGAAAATTCTTCAGTTTTAGTTCCCTAGGTTGGTAATAACGAATGGCAGGGACAAATTTCTTATGTAGTGTTAGTTCTAGTTTAATACAAAATATACAACAATCTAGCGCTTTATAACAGTTAAAACTAGAACTAACACTAGACCTAGAACTAGAAAGTTTCGGGTTTTTTTAACCCGAATGTTTCTAGTTCTAGGTCTAATGTTAGTTCTAGTTTTAGTTCAATAAAAATATGCAACTTAGTGATTTCTTATGCTAGTATATCGAAAAACCATGAATAACATTCCGTTTTCTTATCAACATAATTTTGATAAAGTACTACATATTTTTGTATTAATATGTTATCGATGTAGTGCCTCGCCCACAAGTGACCTTGACTTAATTGAATTGAAAACTACAAAATTTTTTGTTAATATCATTTTAAACAATTCCATTTAAAAATTCATAAACATAGAAATTAACTTCCTTGTGTGATTTTAACAGATACATTTTCTTAATAATTATATAACTACAGAGAGAAACCTAAGAGAAATTTGAACCATTTCCTCACTTTCACAATCAATATTTTATTTTAAACCAACAAATACATATTTTAAACAATCCAATTTATCCCATAAACAATTTATTTAACAAAAAAATTTTTTGTGGCATAACCTAATCAAATTTTCTTCAAAAAAAAATAATTTTTTTTCCCCTATCTTTTTATAATCAAACGTTATACGTATATCTCCTATACAAAAAGACAGTTTTTACCCTTTAATTTAAGATATGAAACGTATTTTAACTCGTAACAATAATTTTTTGGTAATTTTATAATGATTTTTGACAAATTCATAACCTCACCTTATTTATTTCTTTTTTAGACTCAAACGATTTGTGACCACACCGAATCTCTTTTAAGAAACCTTTCGAGCGTAAATCTAAGAAGATCTAGATCGATTAATAACAACGAGTTTAAACAGGAACGAGTTGAACCGAACGAAGATGACGACGACGATAAATACAGGAGATTATTTTGTTTTGACGAAGCCCCAGAATATTTAAAACACAATGTTTATATTAGGAATGGATATAGAGGGATGTTAAATACCAAGTTGTGCATGGAGAGTATTTTTTGGTGGACTAATGAGACGATTAATATTTGGTCCCATGTTTTTGGGTTTATGTTGTTCTTAGGATTAACATTGAAAGATTCTGTTTATATTGATATTCAAGCTCCTTGGGAAGATAAAGTTTTAGTGGCTAATGTTTTAGTTTGTTTTCAGGTAAAATTATTTTTTTATTTATAATTGTTTATAAATTATATTAAATTTTAGGTTTGTATGATATTATCTTCTTTATACCATACATTTTCTTGCCGATCAGAAAAGGATTTTAATTGTTTTCTAACCTTCGATTTATTTGGTATAGCTTTATCACTTTTAGCTATTTACACATCAGGGATTTATTATGCTTTTTGGTGCGAGCAGGTTTGTTAAAAAAATAATGTTAATTAAAAAACAATTAATATTAAATCATTTAGTATTGGAGAACTTTTTATATGTTCACTGTTTCGTTAATATTCGCTGGCGCGATGTTACTCCAACTACCAAAATTTAATATCTCATCGAATGTAAAAACGTTGGTTTTTATTTTATGGGCTTTATACGGGGTGATTCCAACGATTCATTGGACCATAAGATCGGGGGGATTAGCAAGTCCTGTTGTAAGAGTAAGTTTTTGATTTATTATTAGCCCAAAATGTATTAAAACATATTTTTTTTAGCTTTTACTTCCTCGCGTAATGGGAATGTATGGGATAAGTGGTTTAGCATTTTTGGTTTACATCACAAAAATTCCTGAAAGATTTTTTGCCGGAAAATTCGATTATTTCGGGCATTCTCATCAATGGTGGCACATAATCATCGTTATGGCGCTTTATTATTGGCATAGCAGTGGTATTTTGTATCTCGAATACAGAATGAACCATGCTTGTCCAGGAATGGAAAGTTCATCGTCATAAAAATAAATCATTTTATTCAAAACTAAATTGAGAGATTTTTATTTTAGGTAATCTTTTCTTTTAGTTGGTTTTAAAAGATTTGTATTGTTGGCTATTTATTTTTTTTTCTTATTTTGTGGAGAGAAAAAAGTACTCGTTTTTATTTTGTTGTAAATTGTGTGATAAGGTTCTATATTCTATAATATTATTTTTAGAAATGTAATTGATTTAATTAATAAAATTAAATTTTACACTGAAATTAAAATACTTCTCTCAATATTTGTATTATTATTTGATTCAAAAAATCGTAACAACGATGTTTATGGAAAATAAGAAATTATTTATAGCACATTAAATTTTGATCAAATTAGCTTTAAAATGCTTTTTATTTCATAATGATATCTCAATTCGTTCTTGAGATACGATTTTTTTAAATTTTAATTTCTTTATATAATAATTAAACATGCAGAGTTGGATTTAAAAAATCATAACAACGATGTTTATGGAAACTAAGAAATTATTTTTGGCACATTAAATCTTCATCAAATTAGCTTTAAAATGCTTTTTATTTCATAATGATATCTCAATTCGTTCTTGAGATACGATTTTTTAAAATTTATATTTCATATCTATAACAATCAAAAAGGGGTTGGATTTAAAAAATCATAACAACGATGTTTATGGAAACTAAGAAATTATTTATGGCACATTAAATCTTCATCAAATTAGCTTTAAAATGCTTTTTATTTCATGATGATATCTCAATTCGTTCTTGAGATACGATTTTTTTAAATTTATATTTGATATCTATAACAATCAAAAATGGGTTGGATTTAAAAAATCGTAACAACGATGTTTATGGAAAATAAGAAATTATTTATAGCACATTAAATTTTGATCAAATTAGCTTTAAAATGCTTTTTATTTCATAATGATATCTCAATTCGTTCTTGAGATACGATTTTTTTAAATTTTAATTTCTTTATATAATAATTAAACATGCAGAGTTGGATTTAAAAAATCATAACAACGATGTTTATGGAAACTAAGAAATTATTTTTGGCACATTAAATCTTCATCAAATTAGCTTTAAAATGCTTTTTATTTCATAATGATATCTCAATTCGTTCTTGAGATACGATTTTTTTAAATTTTTATTTCTTTATATAACAATTAAACATGCAGAGTTGGATTTAAAAAATCATAACAACGATGTTTATGGAAACTAAGAAATTATTTATAGCACATTAAATCTACATCAAATTAGCTTTAAAATGCTTTTTATTTCATAATGATATCTCAATTCGTTCATGAGATACGATTTTTTAAAATTTATATTTCATATCTATAACAATCAAAAAGGGGTTGAATTTAAAAAATAGTAACAACGATGTTTATGAAAAATAAGAAATTATTTATGGCACATTAAATCTTCATCATATTTGTTATAAAATGTTGTTTATTTCATGATGATATCTCAATTCGTTCTTGAGATACGATTTTTTTAAATTTATATTTCATATCTATAACAATCAAAAAGGGGTTGGATTTAAAAAATCATAACAACGATATTTATGGAAACTAAGAAATTATTTATGGCACATTAAATCTTCATCAAATTAGCTTTAAAATGCTTTTTGTTTCATAACGATATCTCAATTCGTTCTTGAGATACGATTTTTTTAAATTTTTATTCTTTATATAACAATTCAACATGCAGAGTTGCATTTAAAAAATCATAACAATGATGTTTATGGAAAATAAGAAATTATTTATGGCACATTAAATCTTCATCAAATTAGCTTTAAATTGTTGTTTATTTCATGATGATATCTCAATTCATTCATGAGATACGATTTTTTTAAATTTACATTTTATATCTATAACAATCAAAAAGGGGTTGGATTTAAAAAATCGTAACAACGATGTTTATGGAAAATAAGAAATTATTTATGGCACATTAAATCTTCATCATATTTGCTTTAAAATGTTGTTTATTTCATAATGATATCTCAATTCGTTCATGAGATACGATTTTTTAAAATTTATATTTGATATCTATAACAATCAAAAAGGGGTTGGATTTAAAAAATCGTAACAACGATATTTATGGAAACTAAGAAATTATTTATGGCACATTAAATCTTCATCAAATTAGCTTTAAAATGCTTTTTATGTCATAATGATATCTCAATTCGTTCTTGAGATACGATTTTTTTAAATTTTTATTTCTTTATATAACAATCAAACATGTAGAGTTGGATTTAAAAAATCGTAACAACGATGTTTATGGAAAATAAGAAATTATTTATGGCACATTAAATCTTCATCAAATTAGCTTTAAAATGCTTTTTATTTCATAATAATATCTCAATTCGTTCTTGAGATACGATTTTTTTAAATTTATATTTTATATCTATAACAATCAAAGAGGGGTTGGATTTAAAAAAATAATAACAACGATGTTTATGGAAAATAAGAAATTATTTATGGCACATTAAATCTTCATCAAATTAGCTTTAAAATGCTTTTTATTTCATGATGATATCTCAATTCGTTCTTGAGATACGACTTTTTTAAATTTTAATTTCTTTATATAATAATTAAACATGCAGAGTTGGATTTAAAAAATCATAACAACGATGTTTATGGAAAATAAGAAATTATTTATGGCACATTAAATCTTCATCATATTTGCTTTAAAATGTTGTTTATTTTGTGATGATATCTCAATTCGTTCATGAGATACGATTTTTTAAAATTTATATTTGATATCTATAACAATCAAAAAGGGGTTGGATTTAAAAAATCGTAACAACGGTGTTTATGGAAACTAAGAAATTATTTATGGCACATTAAATCTTCATCAAATTAGCTTTAAAATGCTTTTTATGTCATAATGATATCTCAATTCATTCTTGAGATACAATTTTTTTAAATTTTAATTTCTTTATATAACAATTAAACATGCATAGTTGGAGTTAAAAAATCATAACAACGATGTTTATGGAAAATAAGAAATTATTTATGGCACATCAAATCTTCCTCAAATTAGCTTTAAAATGTTGTTTATTTCATGATGATATCTCAATTCGTTCATGAGATACGATTTTTTTAAATTTATATTTGATATCTATAACAATCAAAAAGGTGTTCGATTCAAAAAAATCGTAACAACGATGTTTATGCAAACTAAGAAATTATTTATAGCACATTAAATCTTGATCAAATTAGTTTTAAAATGCTTTTTATTTCATAATGATATCTCAATTCGTTCTTGAGATACGATTTTTTAAAGTTTTTATTTCTTTATACAACAATCAAACATGCAGAGTTGGAATTAAAAAATCATAACAACGATGTTTATGGAAAATAAGAAATTATTTATGGCACATCAAATCTTCATCAAATTAGCTTTAAAATGTTGTTTATTTCATGATGATATCTCAATTCGTTCATGAGATACGATTTTTTAAAATTTTTATTTCATATCTATAACAATCAAAAAGAGGTTGGATTTAAAAAATCGTAACAACGATGTTTATGGAAACTAAGAAATTATTTATGGCACATTAAATCTTTATCAAATTAGCTTTAAAATGCTTTTTATTTCATAATGATATCTCAATTCGTTCTTGAGATACGATTTTTTAAAATTTATATTTCATATCTATAATAATCAAAAAGGGGTTGGATTTAAAAAATCGTAACAACGATGTTTATGGAAACTAAGAAATTATTTATGGCACATTAAATCTTCATCAAATTAGCTTTAAAATGCTTTTTATTTCATAATGATATCTCAATTCGTTCTTGAGATACGATTTTTTTAAATTTATATTTGATATCTATAACAATCAAAAAGGGGTTGGATTTAAAAAATCGTAACAACGATGTTTATGGAAACTAAGAAATTATTTATAGCACATTAAATCTTGATCAAATTAGCTTTAAAATGCTTTTTATTTCATAATGATATCTCAATTCGTTCTTGAGATACGATTTTTTTAAATTTTTATTTCTTTATATAACAATTAAACATGCAGAGTTGGATTTAAAAATCATAACAACGATGTTTATGGAAAATAAGAAATTATTTATGGCACATTAAATCCTCATCATATTTGCTTTAAAACGTTGTTTATTTCATGATGATATCTCAATTCGTTCTTGAGATACGATTTTTTAAAATTTATATTTCATATCTATAACAATCAAAAAGAGGTTCGATTTAAAAAATCATATCAACGATGTTTATTGAAAATAAGAAATTATTTTTGGCACATTAAATCTTCATCAAATTATCTTTAAAATGTTGTTTATTTCATGATGATATCTCAATTCGTTCATTAGATACGATTTTTTTAAATTTATATTTCATATCTATAACAATCAAAAAGGGGTTGGATTTAAAAAATCGTAACAACGATGTTTATGGAAACTAAGAAATTATTTATGGCACATTAAATCTTCATCATATTTGCTTTAAAATGTCGTTTATTTCATGATGATATCTCAATTCGTTCATGAGATACGATCTTTTTAAATTTATATTTTATATCTATAACAATCAAAAAGGGGTTGGATTTAAAACATCATAAAAACGATGTTTATGGAAAATAAGAAATTATTTATAGCACACTAAATCTTGATCAAATTAGCTTTAAAATGCTTTTTATCTCATAACGATATCTCAATTAGTTTTTGAGATATATGTAGGTATACTTTTATTGACTACTTTATGCGATTTTCGCTCCGTGAAATATAGCAGAGAAATGAGACTTGGACCTGTTTGCTATAAAACTAGAGGATTCTAAATAATGGTTTTTCCATAAAAAAATTAAGTTAAAAGCCATTTTCTTAACAATTCAAATTGGAAAATTTAAAAATCCCGCCATTATTGTACTTTTGACGTTCATCGTTTTTTTTATGTCAATGGAAATGACTCAATAGAATTTCATTTAAAATTGAAACTAAATCCATTAAAATAGTACTTCTGTGGGTTTAAATAATAAAATTAAGTGAAAATTTAAATAATAGTTTTATTA